TCTCTGCTCCTGTGAGGATAAGACGAGTCATAATGAGGAGTCAAGTACTACATTTGGAGTCTTGTAGCAGGAGGGGAGTAGAGCCTATCTATTCTGTCCTCTCTGTAGAGGAGAAAGCAGAGACTCTAAGAAGTGAAGGCTGCCACTTGCCAGGGCCAGAGCTGGCGGGAGCTCAGCCTGACTTCTAAGCCACCTCTCAGGCCCTTTGGGTCTGTGTCTAAAGACCAGTAACCTTGGAGCATTTAATTTCTTTTTAGAGAATTTTTTTTCTGGTCCAGCTGGCTATGTAGGGTGGGGCATGTGAAAAGTTAGAACTCTAAAATTTCTCTTAATGCTTAGTTGAGCTACAGGTGCTTAAGAGTGCTCAGTGTGGGAAAGAAAGTGTCACTTTAACAGGTGGCAGTAGAAAGCAAGCCCCACCTAACAGTTACCATGAGTGTTCATGGCCTCAAAGCAAGGACACGCTGCCTGGGGCCCGGGGCTTAAAAGGCAGCTGGAGAGGAACTTAAACAAAAGGAATGAGAGACCCCCCCCCCAGTCCTTCTTTCCTTGTTCATTTTTCAGAAATTGAAATACAATTCAATACACCGTGAAATTCGTCCTTTGAAAGTGTTCATATCACAATCTAGTTCAGAACATTCTTACCACTTCAAAGAGAAACTACCCATTAGCGGTTGCTTTCTCTGCCCTCCTCCCTCAAGGTTTTGCCTGTTCTAGACCCCTCTCAGAACTGGATTATCTAGTACGTTTCCCTTGATGACTGCTTTCTTTTTTTTTTTTTCACTCAGCATAATGCTTTCAAGGTTCACCGTATCATAGTATGTCGGTGTGCCCTTCCTGCTTATTGGGGACCAGTACTCCATTCTTGTACTTGGTTCATCCATTCTTTGGCTGATGGACCTTTGGGTTGTTTCCACCATTTGCTACCGTAAATCATATTTCCCATTCCTTTTTGTTTGGTTTTCCTGAGAAGCTGTTCATCATATCCAGCTGTCTGTGTTCCTCTATTTGACTGTTTGGAAAGCAAGAGTGAGCATAACTGTGAGTGGTGGGATGGCCGGGGAGCCAGGAGATGAAGGTCTGTGAGAACTCTGCCAGAGGGAGGCCTTGCACCTGGCCCCAGGGCCATCTGTTGCTAGGTGGTATTTTCCTGCTGTTGATTATTAACTGGTGGTTATGATTCTGAGAGCAGATCTCTAGGGCAAGGGCTGCTACTGCTTATTTGAAATGGAAGAAATGTTTTCTAAGACATTTAAACAGCCTGGCCCTTTGCTACTCTTTCTGTACTTGGAGACCAGATCACCATTTTATTATTTATTTATTTAGTGTGCGTGCATGCATTTGAGTGTGTGTGTCTATTTGTGTGGGTGTATCTGTGGGTGTGTCTTTGGGTGTGCATGGGGCATGGCATGCAAGTGGAGGTCAGAGGACAGCTGTGGGAGTCAGTTCTCCTCTGCCAACATATGTGCCTGGGGACTGAACTCAGATCATCAACCTTTAGGGCAGGTGTCTTTACCTGCTGGCCTCCAGGTCACCATTTTATGAGTTCTCTGTTTGCTGTCATCATCACCCTGGTCTGTGGCTGTATAGGACTTCATGTTTTTATTCCACAGCACTATGTTTAATTCCTCACAACTTCATTATCCCTGTGTTTTCAGTTAAGGCACTGAGACAGAGAGGTGAGATCATACGGCAGAGTAGCAGGTAGAGCCAAACTATAGCACTTTCAAGATAGGATGCACTACTGTACTTACCTCAGGGGTCTGAGGCACAGCCTTTTGAGGGAGGAGGTGTGGATCCTGAATGCCTGGGTGCTTACATAGGGATTCTACTCAAGGCTCTGCCCAGCCCCACCAGGGTAAGTCAGCTTCTCCTCCAGGCCCCTATACCTTTTCTTGCTGAAGTTGCATTTGGCTAAAGTCAGGAGGGACCTCCTCTGGCCACCCTGAACCCTCCCATTTGCCTTGAGATCTCCTATGCTTTTAGGGCTCAAATCCAGAGTGGGGAACTTTAGCCTATCTGGCTCTGTGGCAGCAGAGATGCAGAGTGGGCAGCACCTCTAGGACCTCCCTAGGTGACCTGCCCACTCAGTGCCCTCATGCCCCTCTCTTTCAGCTGAGAGTACAGTCTTCCTCCTCCCCTCTGCCTTCTCTCCACCCTCTTCTTCCCTTCTCTCTAGCCTGCACTGATCTCGAACAGCTCCTCATATGGGTTCCCATGGACCCGTGGGTGAATATGGAGCCCTGCATCCTGACAACATCTGTGTATGTTTGTCTGGACCAGTGGAAGGGCAATTTTCGATCTCAGGGTCATGACACTGTGGCTCACAAGAAAGTTGTCATGTCTGCTAATGATTTACATTTTGCTTATAACAAACGAGAGCAAACTGAAAGTTTATCCCTTGATAGAATCGTGTCAGTCTCACCTCTCCTGTGTGATGTGTTTACCGAGTGGGAGAGAACGGCTGGAATTGCACCAGCTCTGCAGCTTCTACTGTGTCTTATCTCTGTACTAGCTGGTGACTGGGTCTGGCCTGGCATCCTGGAAGTGGGGTGGCTCGCATGTAAATGTCTTTGTCATGAGGTCTGGGGCAGGACAAGGTTGGACTCAGCTGATGGGGGGTGGTGGTGAGGTGGAAGCAGGGATTTCACCTTCTTGATTTTGAGCTTTCATCACAAGGCCAAGGCTAGAAATAAGAACTTGGGCAATGTAATACTTTCCTGGGGCTGCTGTAACCAAGTACTAAAACTGGCTTGAGGCAGCAGACATTTATTTTCTCAGTTCTGGAGGCTGAAAATGAAACTCCAACAAGGTGCCAGCAGGAGCATGCTCGCTTTGATGGCTCTGGGGACAAGTCTTTCCTGTCTCTAGTTTCTGGGGGTTGATGCAGTCCTTGGTATTCCTCCATGGACAGCCACATCTTTCTAATCTCTGCCTCAAACTGGTGTTTCCCATGGGTCTGGAATCCTACATTCGCCTTTTTGTGTGGACCCAGAACCAGACTGCATGACTGTGTGTAGAGCATCACTGAACCAGTGATGTAAAAGTCTGCCAACATTACCCTCCTCAGGGTTGTGTTCCTGGAGAGACAGGGCTGTTGTTTGTCAAGACATCTACAAGACATCTCCAGAGGCATGGGCCAGAAGTCCTCAGCTAAACCTAGAGCAGCCTTTTGATCTCTGGGTGGGAATTTTCCTCCTCTCTCTTCCCTGCTTACTTTTCCCCGTCAGGTCTTAGGAGACCTGAGTGTGGTACTTACCATCCTTGATTAGCCTTCATCCCTCTTTGTTCTCAGAGGCCAGGCCCAACAAGAGAAGCAGTGGCTTCTTGGAAGAGGGCTGAGTGGCAGAGGGCAGAGGCTGTGCTGGGCCAGCTGGCTGGGTTCACAGTCAGGTGACCACAGTGCAGTGCAGTGGCCATAGCTGAGGTGCTATGTGAAAGAGGAAGCTGATGGCTTGAGTCAAGAGACAGCTGCTGCATTTCTATTTCTTTGGGTGTGAATGAGAGAGAGAGAGAGAGAGAGAGAGAGAGAGAGAGAGAGAGAGAGAGAGAAAGAGAGAATGTGAGTGGCTGAGTCTTGGCCTTAATGGTTCTTGGACCAGTAACAGTCTGGACCAGGAAGGAGGAGACCCCTCCCCCTCCAGCTGTCATAAACTTCATTATGAAGGTGCAGGAAGAAATAAGGACAGAGGCAGATGGAGGAGAGAAAGAAGCTGGCCAGGGGTGAGGTTAATGGAGTCATGTGAATCCTAAGTCAAGCCAGATGTTCACCAGCCCCTGTCTGATTGCTTAGAGGACAGTGCGGGTAGCTGCTGCAGGGAAGCAAGGGTCACAGTGACAGGAAGTTAAGGCCCTGTCTCCAGCTTGGTTTCTCAAGAGGTGTTAGACTGGCTTGTCCTATGGGCTTAGAGAACCTGGATGAGACTATGTCTAGGCTCCAGGACTGAAACTTCCCTCTGGGAAGTTGGGGGACTGGGCTCTAGGGAATGTGGGTTTCCTTATGAAGCAGCATTGATTGGGGCTGCCACTCCCACTGGCAGATCATGGGCTGGAAAGAGGTACAAAGGGCTCTCTTGAGGTGGCAGTGGGGGCCTTGGTCACTTAACATACCATGGGTACTGAGTGGATTCTTGGCTGCTTCAGGATGGAATTCTTGTGAAGCTGGGGGCTTTAACAGCTCAGTTATGGTCTTCGAAGGCTTTCAGTACTGTTGTCTCGCCTTTCTGTCCCTCCCTCCCCAGGCACATCAGAGTCCCTGGCCCACTGGGGGATTCCCCACGCTCTGCCCAGATGGCCCTGTTGCATAATTTGCTCCAAAGGCTTCTCCCAACCCGAGCAGTCTGCCTGGTAATGGGACAGCAAACAAGCTCTCCCTGGTCACCAGCAAGGGCCAGATGGGAAGTGGGGAGTATGTGAGTGGCGAACTTGTCGCAATCATGTTGCCATGGTGATAACAACTCTGTTTAGCTGCCTCTCCCTGGTCTTAGCCCACATGGACTAAAATAAGTTTCACCTGCAGCTTTCACAGCAGGCAGCCCTGTCTTCCCAAGGTTGGCTCTCTGGCTAGGGTCCTTCCTCCTTCCCTCTCTCCTCTCTGTGCCCAAATGGACAGAGGTACCCATGGAAGGATGAATCCCACATGTTGATCCCTTTCCCCTTCTCTCTCTGTCCCTAGTCCTGTATCTTTTAGAATTGGTGGTTCTGAGACTCTGGGTGCATCAGAACCACCTGGAGAGCGGATAAAGTATTCTTGGGTTCCATCTTTGAAGATTCTGGCATGCACCTGAGGACTTGCATATCCTCAGGAGATATTCCCTGCTTTGGATGTTAGTATAGCCTAGTGAAGAAATGTACGCAACTCTGATTTTCTGTAAAGCAAACAAGTGTACATAGTTTAGTACACTAAACTATGTCCATAAGCCCAGTCCCTCTTAGGTCACAGAGGGAATGCTCTAGAAGGCCCTTGCTCATGACTTGTATGTCCTTTGGTCTCTTCATAGGAAACAGGAGCTGGCCAACAGCTCGGATGTGACCCTCCCAGATCGGCCACTGTCCCCTCCTCTCACTGCACCTCCAACCATGAAGGTAAGAGACTTGGACTAGGAAGTGGGGAGAAAGGCCATGCAGAGAATGTCTGGAGGTCTTGGTGCTTTGGCTCCAGGTTCAGATGTTCCTATTGCAAGGGGGGACATGGAGGATTCAATGTCTTGGGAGACAGTATCTAGTTAAGTTGGGTAGAGTGGAAGGAAAGTGTGACTGAGACTTGGGTGTCTTTGTCAAGGGGCTGTGAGGAAACAGAGTGGGGCTGAAGTAGGGCTGGTAGAATTATTGAGAGGCCATGTTGAGTGGTGGGGTTGGAACAAGGGACCCAGGCTGGAGGAAGCAGAAGAGACAGTACAGCTGGGCATTGAAGGGGTTGCCATGTAAGACTGACTGGGGCTGGGCGAGTCTTCCTAGGACTGAGATGGCACTGGCATACTGATCTGCCAGTCTCTGATTTGCCCCTCTAAGATGGCGCTGTTAACCCAGTCTCTATAGGAAACTTGTCCTGTGACCTCAGCCTCTATGGGAGAATTGTCTTGGAGACTCTGGGGTTCAATTCCCATCAGGAGCCTTGGCCGCAGGGGTGCACTGTCCCCAGATTCCAAGATTTGGACCCTCTCCTTCTTGAAAAGGAGACTGTGACCCTTCTCATGCACTTCTGTGCTTACCTCTCAGTTCCTACCCCCAACTCCTGTGGGATGACCACCCAAGCCTGGGCTGGCCCTCAGAGAGGACTTTTGGCTCAGCTAGGCTCCTGCCCAGGCTGCTGTGCACCCCTGACCCCTAAGTCACCCAAAGGGCCTTTGAGGCCAGCTGGTGTCCCTGTCCTGGGAATCCTCTCTGAGATGATGTACAAGAAATTAGCATCTCTTCCCTGCTGATCTAACCAGCTTCCCTCTTCTCTGACACCATCCACTGCCTGCTATCATCTCGGGTGACGCCTACCTCACACTGAGCCATGTGGCACATGCAAGGATGTGGACAATGGTAGCAGAGCCTAGTTGGGCCAGGTGTTCCGAGGTGGGAAGGGTACAGGACAGGGTACAAGGTGGTTGGCACAGCTTTCCTCTCCTGGTGGGGTGCCTAGGAACTGGAAGCTGAGCCATTCCTGTCAGCCTAGTCCAGGGTTGGTATGTAACCCAGCTGCTGAGGTGGTTTGTTGGCATAGGGCAACAGTGGGGAGGATGTGGCCATTCTGAATCTCAGCTGTTCGGTCTGCAGAGTGGGGTGTGGGAAGCTTGTCTTTGCTCACCAATGGCAGGAGTTTATAGGGAGAACACAGAATGCCTTGGAGGAGTCAACGAGGTTCTCTTGGCAGGCTTCTCCCACATGATTGTTTAATTCACTCAGCACCCAGTGTTTATTTGAATATTGCATTAGTCAGGATTCTTGGTTGCAAGTGACAGAAACACAACTCACTTTGGCTTAGAAACTTTCCCAAGCACAGCTGCAATCTGCTTCTTCACTTTCTCCTCTGTGATGGCTTTATTCTTTGACAGACCCTGTCTCAGTGGTGGCAGGGGAGTGACAGCAGCCCCTGCAGGTTAAGTAGCTCCCCATGGAAAGAAGAGTAACTTTTTGCCAGTAGTTCCAACAAAAATCCCAGGAAGGAGCTAGGTGTGGTGGTGCATGCCTTCCATCCAGCACTCAGGAGACAGGCAGGTGGATCTCTGTGAGATCAAGGCCAGCCTGGTTTACCTGTCAACAAACAAAAAAGTCCCAGGGTGGAAACTCATTGGCCAGAGAGATGGAAGGCTGTGATTGGCCAGACTTGGGTCTCATGACTCGCACCACAGAAACAGAGAAGGGCTGGGATGGTTCTTGGAAAACTGAAGCACTAGTATAAGAAGGGATAGGGATGCAGAGTAGACAAGACCCACAGTGAGGGCAGGCGCTGCTAAGGTACAAGGCCCAGTGCTGGGTGCTTAGTGACTTCAGTACGAACAAGATGTTCCATTCTCTTCTTTCTTAAAATTGTTTTATTTAAATTTATTTTATTGCTGGGCATGGTGGTACACGCCTGTAGTCCCAGCACTCGGGAGGCAGAGGCAGGTGGATCTCTGTGAGGTCAAGGCCAGCCTGGTCTACACAGTGAGTTCCACGCCAGCTGGGGCTTACAGGGAAACCCTGTTTCAAAAAGACCAAAAAAAATTATTTTATTTTTATGTGTGTGCATGTATTGCCTGCATGTAGGTAAGTGCACCCGTGTCGTGCAGTGCCCACGGAGGACAGAAGAGGCAGTTGGATCCTCTGGAACTGGAGTTACAGACAGTTGTTAGCTGCCATGTGGGTGCTGGGATTCGAACCTGGGTCTTCTGCAAGAATAGCCAGTGCTCTTAACTGCTGAGCCATCTCTCCAGCTCCACTGTTCTCTTCTTTCTTGGAGTTTCTAGTCTATCCAAGTTGAAGGGAATGGCAAGAATGGAGGCATGGATGTTTGAGTGAAGGCAGTGTTCTCAGAAGTTCCATATAACTCGGGGGAATAGAAGGGTGGGGCTTGAGGAGGTCATAGAGAGGAGCAGGTGGGGTTTCTTAGAGGAAATGGTCTTTCAGCTGGGCCCTGAGAGTTGATGAGGACTTAGGCTAAGGTGGAGTCTGAGCAGAGACGTAGTTGAGATCCTTGCTATTCAAAGTGAGGCCAAGGGACCAGCCACACGGTGAGTGTCTCAGAAATTCACACTCTCAGGTTCTGCCTCAGATCACTGAATGGAATCTGCATCTTTCCAGCATTTCAGGTGACTAGAAGTGTAGAGCAGCTTGAGGAGTACCAGAGATGAAGCAGGAGGAGGGAGAGGACCTGGAAAACCAGAAGTACCAGAGCATCCTGAGTTAGGGATGAAGAGGCTGGGCCTGAAGGCAGGGACTAGGTCAAGCTCATTACAGGCATGCACTACCAGCCCTGGTTGTGATGGGACTTTTGAACAATCATCTTGAATGCTGTGAGGAGGACACCTGGGAGACAGCAGAGTGGAAATCAGAAGTATACAAGGCACCAGTGGTCTTATTTGGAAGTAGTCAGAGCTGAGTTTCTAGGTGATAGATTGAGGAAACAAGATGATTTGAAGAGAGGGAAGCAAGAATGGCCCCTAGGTAGTGAGCAACAGGACTCGGTGCAAGTGTTTTCTGAGCTGGGGGTGGCCTAGCAGGGGAGGATAAGGGTCAGGTTGTTTGTGCTGAGTTGGCAGGCTTGAGGCAGCAGTGGGTCAGGTTTACAGGTAGAGAGTGGAGTGAGAAGAGGTTCCTGGGGTGGCATGGTAAACCTCCTCCTCCTGCTTCCCTGTAAAGGCTGGTGCTGGGGCTTCTGGGAAAGAATTCGGACCTACACAGAGAGATGAGCACTTCATGGTGAGAGACAGGCAGCTGGGTCAGCCACTGGAGAGGCCATGTATGATGTGGAGTGCATGGGAAACTTGGCTAGTGTTGACTGAGGCCAGTTCTGGGGAGGTGGGATGACAGCAGGTGTCAGTGCTGAGGAGTGAGTGTAGGTAGTGTGTGTCAGAGGGTGTAGAGAGCCCTTGTGAGACAGGGAGACCCTAAGGTGTGGAACTGTAAAACGAGGGAGCCATTGTGTAGAAGGAGACTCAATTCTTATGTGTTCCCCAGCCTCTGTGTGTGTGTGTGTGTGTGTGTGTGTGTGTGTGTGTGAGAGAGAGAGAGAGAGAGAGAGAGAGAGAGAGAGAGAGAGAGAGAGATAGAGATAGAGATATTGAATCAGGAATCTGCTCTGCCCTGGCTATCAAGACTTGGGCTTAGTCAGGGAAAGAGCTGAGTACTGAGGCTTGTCCCCAAGTCTCAGTCTGGGCACCTTGTGTGTGGCTGGTGTTGTGGTCAGTTATATCTGGTTTCTTTGTGACTGCTATTGGGTTTATTCTATGATTGTGGTTTGAATCTGTGACTAGAAAATTTCCCCTTTGTATGGAGCTGCTTTCTAGGGATATAAAACCACAGTGCCCACCAACCTGCTCACCACAGAGGAAGCATCCCATGGTGGACTGTACTCAGTGTTAATGTTGATGCTCCTTGCCATTTGGTTCATTCTACTCTGGTATTGAGGGGGTCCTAGCCCTGGCCTCGGGTGGGTTGGGTTTGGGTTGTTGTTGACTGCTCAGGACCTTCAGGTTGGAAGTTTGCTATGCGCCTGGTCTTCCACCTCTCCTACCTTTGAGTTTTATATCCAGCAGATCTCTGCTCCTTGTCTCCGTTTCTACTGGCTGTTTCCAAGGGTGGAATCAGCACGTCATATTTTTTATTTTATTTCTTTAAAAATTTTGTTTTTTGGTAATTTCACACACATACCCACCCACACCTACAAGGTGTTTTGATCATGTACCACCCCCATTACCATCTCTTAGCCCTTCCTACTCCCGTCGAACCCCCATTTCCCCAGAAAATCCCGTCCTACTTTCATGAGATAAGATCTCTCACTGGCCTAGAGCTCACCAAGTAGGCTAAGCTGGCTGGCTAGAGAGCCCCAAGGTATCTGCCTGTCCCAGCCTCTCCAGAGCTAGGACTAAAAGCACAGACCATCATGCCTGTCTTCTAATTAATGAATAATTAATTAATTAACTAATTGTGTATATGTGCACCCAAACCATCATATGCACATGAAGGTCAGAGGGCACCTTGCTAGAGTCCATTCTTTCCTTCTATCATGTGGATCCCAGGCATTGAACTCAAATGGCTTGGCAGCAAGCACCTTTACCTGCTGAGCCATATCTGTTTGCCCCACACCTGGCTTTTAATGTGTTCTGGGTAACCTACTCGGGTCCTCATGCTTGCATAGCAAGCACTTTACCAACTGCTTTACCAATCTCTCTAGCTCCATGAATCAGTTTTCTCCCTTCTGAGCAGGTACTTTGAAGGTGAAGGCCTGGCTGGGTTCCCTTGGTAGTGTGGCTCAGGACAGGGGTGCAGAATACCCTTTTGTTAATTAGCTTGGGTCAGGGATGGATTGATTATACATTTCCTTCCTAGATAGGAGTCTGAGAAGTGGGAAAGGACTTACTTGCGCAAGGTCCCATTGAAAGAGCCAGTAGTGAAAT